GTATGGCGGAGCCTGCTGGGTAATGGTGTCGGATAGCAACGGCCGGGAGGGGCGGGGGTGGTCTGGTGCTAAGTGGCTTATCTCCTGTAGGCTGACCACTCTCGAGCAGCCGTCGCCACCCCTCTGTTGTGCTTATCTCTGGGTCCCACTTGAATCGAAGCGCGGAAATCTCCCCTTGCGAGGACACAGTTGTCTTAGTCATCCGTCCTTTTGCCTGGATACTTAATTCCTTATCTTTTTGGTGCCTGAGAGTGGTGGCCCTCTAACTGAACCCGTGGTTTTCGGATAAAGTACTCCACCAGTAACTGGGCAAAGAATTTTCCCATGCGCCAATCAGTGGGCTCCGTTTTCCAAAATCCTGGTTTTGAGGCGAGGTGGTGGGAGTTTTACTTAGAATTGTCTTATGATTGTGCAAATTATCCAAGAATAGACATGTTCCAGATGCATTTGAAAACAGGCCTGGATTTCCATGACTGCCGTTCCATTTGAGGAATACCTGAATACAGCAAGTGTCTAAAACTGCATCAGGTTTTTTTTTGTTTTTGTTTTGTTTTCTGCTGGCAACGTATTTGTATTCAGGGTTTTTGTTTTGCTTTTTTTTTTATTTTTTTGCTTTCTGCTGGCAATGTATTTGTATACATTAGCATTGCCCACAGCTCACCATCCCTAATGGGTTAATTTTAGAAATTTGTTAAATTTAGAAATTTTACAGGCTGCTGTAAGCTGGCAAGTTCATGTTCTGACAGGGGTTAACCAGGGAGTAGAGAGAGAAGGCACTATTTGTACAGGGTAAATACTCCCACACCCTCTCCAATCATATTGGACGTTGGGCGGAAGAACTTTGCACTAATACAGAGCCTTAAGAAATTCCATGCTGGGGGCAATTCCATGATATTCTAAAGGTTCCTTGTAGTAAACTTTGAATTTCAAGGACCAAAATAAAGACAGTAATTACTGTTGTGTTCATTCCAGGAACACAGCCTGCCCCCAGTCTCCTTCAGCACAGATCCCTTTCTTGATGCGCTTTGAGAAAGAAAGACTTAGGCCAGCAGAGTGCCTTTCTTGGGACTCCTTAGCCTAACATTGATGTTCCCCTTTCAGTCTTACTATTTTGACCGTGATGATGTGGCTTTGAAGAACTTTGCCAAATATTTTCTTCACCAATCTCATGAGGAGAGGGAACATGCTGAGAAGCTGATGAAGCTGCAGAACCAGCGAGGTGGCCGAATCTTCCTTCAGGATATCAAGGTGAACGAAAGATCCTAGAGGTGCCGTGCCTCCTAAGTAAGCTACCTAGCAGTCCTCAGGTGTCAGGAATCACTCGGAAGCTAGCAGTTGCCCTGGTAAAACGAGGCAACTTCGGGATTTTGTGCTTTTTTTAGGCTGAACCATCCAAGCTAAAGGCAGCAAAGAGTGGTGGGCGAGGGTGTTAAGTTGGAAGGTGTTGCAGGAGAAACTCGGATGCCCCTTGTGAAGCGCACGTTTGAGGTGCTTGCTGACTTGTGGGCTGGTAGAGGCTGCAGGAGCGTTGACCTGACCTCCTCTCGTTCAGAAACCAGACCGTGACGATTGGGAGAACGGGCTGAATGCGATGGAGTGTGCGTTACACTTGGAAAAGAGTGTGAATCAGTCACTACTGGAACTGCACAAACTGGCCACTGACAAAAACGACCCCCATTTGTGTGACTTCATTGAGACGCATTATCTGAATGAGCAGGTGAAGTCCATCAAAGAACTGGGTGACCACGTAACCAACCTGCGCAAGATGGGGGCTCCCGAATCTGGCATGGCAGAGTATCTCTTTGACAAGCACACCTTGGGAAACAGTGATAATGAGAGCTAAGCCTTAGGCTGTCTTCCCATCGCCACACGGGTGACTTCCCTGGTCACCGAGGCAGTGCATGCGTGTTGGGGTTACCTTTCCCTTTTCTAGAAGTTGTACCAAAACATCTACTTAACTTCTTTCATTTGTACCATTCCTTCAAATAAAGTAATTTGGTACCCAGCTGTTGTCTTTTGAGTAGTTGAGATGGGCTAGAATTGGATCTAGGTCCTCTGTGCAAAATCTGTGAGTGCTGCAGTTCAACCACGGTAACCAAATGAAATGCCTAGGAGGATTTGTATTTACTAAACTCTTTAGTTTGGGAAAGATGTCAAGGTTGGGGGTGTGGAATTCAGACAGGACGTAAGGACTCCGGATGCTGAATTTGATGTTTTGAATTACATGTTTCCGGTGATTGGGTCTAGCTTTCACAATTTTTATGTACAAAAGGCACTTAAAGGCTTAAGTAGTCCTGAAACTACTGATTCTGTTACCCATTAAGCTAACCATTTAGTTCAGGCTGTCATACGAACGTATGCTTCAGTGTGGACAGCTATATGGCTATGACTGGATCAGTGTCCCGCTGGTGTACATGCAGGTAGGACCAGGCCGGTGAAGTGTCCCTTTCGGGGAAACAGGCTAAGAGTGTGCTTCATCCCTAGAGAAAATTGGAGAAAGTCAACGTGAGTACGGAAGATCTCCACTTCAGTGTTAAAACTAGTTGCGTAGTGTGGCAAAGGTTGGGACATCTGAACTACACAACATCAGTGAGTAGGGTCAGGAGACCACAGAACCATCTCCTTGCTAACAACTACATTAATGTCCTTTCCCAAACAAGCCACGGTGATTCGTAAGTTTCTGTCTGGCTAGAAACAAAACCGATGGTAGCCCTTTTCAGGCTTTTTTTTTTTAATTTTTTTTTAATTTTTTTTTTTCAACATTTTTATTTATTTTTGGGACAGAGAGACAGAGCATGAACTGGGGAGGGGCAGAGAGAGGGAGACAACAGAATCGGAACAGGTCTCCAGGCTCTGAGCCATCAGCCAGACAACGTTAGGCTCCGAACTACTGACCGCGAGATCGTGACCTGGCTGAAGTCGGACGCTTAACCAACTGCACCACCCAGGCGCCCCCCTTTTCAGGCTTTTAATCACAAAGTGTGTATTCTGACCCAGAAGTGAACTGCTTGAGAATCTAGAAATAGGAAGTTAACGCTTCCCACATCATGAATGGGGGTGGGATAAGGTGGGTCTAATGGGTGAAATCCTGAATGTAGGGAAACACCTGCTGGGGTTTTGACAGCTTTGGATGGACCCCCGAGGCAGCATGAAGAGCACATAGAAGTTCAGAAGTCCTGATGAGTTCCCCAAAGCAGTAAGATACCCCAAGGGACCTGGCCACCCTCACCTTGACCATCTACCAGTTCCCAGGGGTGTAATACTTTCCAGGATCACTGGAGGGTTGTGGGGAAGTGTTCATATGCGGTCACCCAGCTGAGGCTGGGTAGTGAGTGGAGTTCCTAGGTTACCGCCTAGAGTCCCTAGCTCTGCCTCATGGTTTTGGGTCTGCTCCTCCAAAAGTGAGCTCCAGGGATAACATGCCCACCTAAGCCTGGCCTGGTGGGACTCTTCCTGGTGGTATCAGCCTCTTGGGTGAAATAAGCAAAAGCCCTCAGCACTTAACTAGGGCCCTTGCTGAGGTGGCCAGGTGTGTGCCCCAAGGCAATGCAAGGTGTGAGTCCAGCATGCTCTGGCAGTGAGGGAACCGTAGGAAAGATGGTGGAAGAAAGGGTAGGCTCACAGCAAGGGAAGCTGGTGGGGCTCCCCCCCATGTGGGTGGGAGTGTGGGGAGGGGAGGAGGTGAAGTGACCTGGTTAAGGTAGAGAACAGACCTGTCTTCCAAGGCCCAGTAGGGATCTCCGTGACTTCTGAGTATTATCTCTATGTTGCTTGACTGGTCCAAATGTGATTCTCTGAGATGTTCCGAGGTCTCCGACATGTCGGTCAGGTTAAACTCAACGGTTTTCTTCTTCATGTGACCCAATTGTGGGTTCTCCGTCGAGGACCCGACGCCATCTGAGAGCAGTTCAAAACTGTTCTCTCTGTCAGGAGTCACAGGCTGTAGGCTTTGGTCTTTGACAGCGCTGTCTGTGCCTGAGACTCTGCGAAGGCCTGAGGGTGCTGACTTTCCAGGTGGGAAGACCATAGGGGTGTGGCTGAGGGGCGTCTGGGGGGCACTGTGGTAGCCTGACCTCCCGTATAGTGCAGCAGTCTGGAAAGCATCATCCTCCTCCTCAATCTTCCAAGGCTTGCCGCCTTCCTGGTTCCTAGGGTGCTGTCTGGCACTCCCGAGTTTCTTGGGCTGGCCCTCTTGGAGAAGGCCTTCTTTCTTGGGTCGCAGTAGTTTGGTCTTTGAGTTTGTCCTGGGGGGATGGTGGTCGTGGGACTGTAGCCCTAGGAAGCGGCCAATGATGCCAGTTTGAGGGTCCTCCTCCTCTTCTGGATTTGCCTGAAACCCCATGTCTTCCTTATGCAGACTGTAAAGGAGACTCGGTTGAGCAGCGGACAAGGACCAAAGCCTGACTTGACTTCTCCTTCACCTCCTCTTTTCCCTCTCTATGGCCCAAAGCCAAAGACACACAGTGTTTCTCACTATGCCTGGACTCACCTCTCTCCCGACCCATCCTCTACTGCCCTGTGAATCCTTCCAGGCCCGGCTCCCCTCACTGTTGTGTGCCTCCCTCTTGCCCGTGTTGACTAACCCCTCCTTCCCCCCCACCCCCCCGCCCCAGCCTGGCACTTAAGGGCTCTGTCTTCATCTCCATCTTCTCGTGAGCATCCCTCACTCCAGGCAAGCAGAATACTGCTCCCCAGGTCTGGTCAGTCACATGAGGCCCAGGAGTGACTCTGGGCAGGCTGGGGGTTTGCGGTTGTAACTGCGGAGCAGCATATCCACAAAGAAGTCTGGCTTTCTGGAAGCCCAAGGCCTTTGCTCTGAGGAAAGAGCCCGCCTATCCCAGAGTGTGGCCTGCCCTCGCTCGTGTCCACATTCTCCCCACGCTTCAAGGCCCAGCTCCGGGTCCAGCTGGAGGCCACCTCCCAGGCCAAAGGCGGTCTCTTGTTCTATGTTCCGTCTCCCCCAGGCACCTGGTACTTTGTACCTTGTATCCAGAGTTGGGGCCTTGGGTTTGAGTCCCCTCACTGAATTGTGTGTTCCTTGCAGACAAGGTCTATGTATTACTATTCTCTGTCCTCCACCCAACCTTCAGCTGCCAGAGTACAGACCACATGGAATTCAAAAGCAACTTCCAGAAATGTTTCTGACCCGAGCAAGCCTCCAGCCTTCATGTGATCACTTTTTCAAACCTTCCTCACACCTACTAGAGACTCTAGCTAATTCTAATTATGGCTTAAGAGGATATTTGGTTTTTATTTTTATGTTATTAATTAATTAATTAATTTATTTATTAACATTTATTTTTGAGAGAGCACGAACAGGGGAGGGGCAGAGAGAGAGAGGGAGACACAGAATCCGAAGCAGGCTCCAAGGCTCTGAGCTGTCAGCACAGAGCCCGACGCGGGGCTCAAACTCGCAAACCGCGAGATCATGACCTGAACTGAAGTCAAGATGCTTGACTGACTGAGCCACCCAGACGCCCCAGATATATGGTTTTTAAAAGACAATAGTGCTGGGGCACCTGGGTGGCTCAGCTGGTTAAGCACCCGACTTCATCTCAGGTCATGATCTCATGGTTTGTGAGTTTGAGCCCCGCATCGGGGGCCCACCATCTGTGCAGAGCCTGCTTGGGATTCTCTCTCTCTCTCTTTCTCTCTCTCTCTCTCTCTCTCTCTTTGCCCCTGTCTCGCTTGTGCTTACTCTTTCTCTCTCTCTCAAAAATAAATAAACTTTAAAAAGCCTGTCGAAGAAAAAAAAAGACAACAATGCTTAATACTGTGGAAGAAAATCTTGATGGTATGGATTCTGACATGCAGATGACTCTATAAAGTCCTCCCCACTCTCATACTGGGGAGAGAGGGCTGTCTGGGATGGCCCTTCAGCCCACTGTGACCCTGCTGCAGCTTAGAAGGGAAACAGGACCCATGTGCAGGGAAGTCTGGCTGGCTGCGGTGGGTGACCTGAGGCCTGTGCTCTGTAGCACAGAGCCTACCCAGAAGTTACCTGTGATGACCCAGCGTCTTGCTGGGGACATGCTTGCCGGCCTTCCCCTCACTTCCTCCGCCTCCCCGCTTTCACTCCCCATCCAAATACCCTGGCTTATCAGGAAACGTAGTTCCGGACCAGAGCTGGGAACCAGGCTCTGGCATCCCAACTGCATCACTGACCACTGACTGCCCTTGAGTAAGTGCCTTCTTTTCTCAGGATCTGTTTCCAGCTCTGGACGTGGGGGGCTTAGACTGGCTGTACCTACAATCCCTTCCAGCTTTAGGAATTACTAAACAGTACAAGGTAAGGATGTGGAGATAGAAGCAGACACACCTGGTCCACGTGTATCACTTGCTAACTATGTGACCTTGGGCTGGACAACCCACTTAACCTCTCTGAACTTGGACTTAATCACCTGAAAACTGGAGGTACCAAACCATTGGGAGGAAAAAGAGAGTTTATACAAAGAGCTTAGCAGAATTCCCAGCACTTAGCACACATCCGATATGTATTAACCAGCGCTATTCTAAGTTTTCAGGCAGGCCCTTGCACTTGGGCTTTTCGACTCACCAAAGTGGTCCCGGGCACTGCTCACCTGATGTTGAAGGTAGAGCCTAAAAAGGAGGGTCGACGATACTGGGCAGAAGCAGCTGTATAGGGGGGTTGTGGTTCTGGATCATTCCAGTACATATCCCGCTCCATTGGGGGCAGGTCCTGGTGCATCTCGTCCACAGCCAACAGGGACACCTGGTTGCCAGGCACAGAAGGAAAATCCAGCAGAAAGGTCAGCCCAAGCAGGACCTTGAATTTGCTAGATGACTTGGAGAGGTCACTTCCCTCTCTCTGGGCCTCAGTTTCCCTACTTGTGAAATGGAGAGACTGATGCCCATCTTCAGCCTCGGAAGTTGGGGTGAGAATCCTGTGAATGAATGGTTGGCTGGGAGGGGGCAGTTCACGGTGAGGCCTTCCTGCAGACCTGTGGGGTCCCCTCCCTGGCCCTTTCAGGGAAGGACCACAAGATAGGCGCCCCCTCTCCCCAAATACCTGCAGGCTCCTGTCGACAATCCAGTTGGTCTCAAAGTCATCATCATCCTCTCCAAATGGGTTGATGAGCTGCTCTGCCACCTTGGGGAGAGGTGAGGCTCTGGAAATCCTCAGGTAGATTCCCTGCAGCCTGCTCCCTGGCCTTAAACTTTCAGTTCCTTCTAGTTCCACGCCCCCCTCGATGCCTGGCCTCCCTAACCACCATCTCCAGAGCCAGTATGTCCTTCCCTTTAGGGAAGCTCTTCAGGGAAGAGCTGTCCTTCATTGTGTCACTCAGTACCAGTCATCACTGGTACCTCCCAAACCTATATGCTCCCCGGAGTTCCAGAATTCTGTGCGTTCGTTCATTTACTCATTCCAGTCTTCAAACACTCATTTATTCATTATTTTCAATGCAACAGAGACGTTGAGGCTGTGATCAAATAAAGGGTGGCCCAGGCAGGATGAATCCTGGCACTAACCTGTGAAGTCCCCTGACAAAGCCCTGCAGTAGGGGTGAGCTGCACTAAGGGTTCAAGGGACATCCCGTAAGCCGCTGGGGAATTTCAACCAGAAAAATGGGTGTGATCTGGTTTGAAGCGAAGATGACTGAGGGGCTGAGGGTGTGGATGGGGAAGGAATAGCTGTGTGTGTGTGTGTGTGTGTGTGTGTGCGCGCGCGTGCGCGCGCGCAAACCATGCACAGGAGGGAGGGAGGAGGCAACGTGACATCACCACCGCTACCAAAAAATAAAGGAAAAAAGGAAGAGACAGAGGGTGGGTGAGAAATGGAGGAAAGATCTGGGGTGCCTGGGTGGCTCAGTCGGTTGAGTGTCTGACTCAGGTCATGATCTCATGGTCCGTGGGTTCAAGCCCTGCGTTGGGCTCTGTGCTGACAGCTCGGAGTCTGGAGCCTGCTTTGCGTTCTGTGCCCCTGCCTCTCTCTGCCCCTCCCCCACTCATGCTCTGTCTTGCTCTGTCTCTCAAAAATAAATGTTAAAAATTAAAAGAAAAAAAAAAAAGAAACGGAGGAAAGATAAAGAGATGGAGAGGAAATGGTGCTGTTCAGAACTCCTGTTAGGGACAGCTCCGGATGTAGTGGGAGGAAAACCTGGAAAAGCCACTTGGGGTGGGGATGAGACACCTTCCCCCATCCCGCCCTGGATAGATTTCTTGAGTAAGGAGAGGTGGTGCTAATCTGCCTTGAAAGGATGGGGGCTAGGGTAGTTAACATCAGGGCTTTTGCTTTACTAAGCAGAGGGGACAAATTTGGGACCAGAGCCTCATCACTGGGGACGGTGAGGAGTTGCCTCGCCAGTGGGGTCAGCTACTGCCATCTTAGTCCATACATTTCCCTTGTTCCGGACAGATGTTTGAAGAACGTTCTCTTGAGGGGACATCTAATGGTTTGACAACTGAGCTTTCCCTGTCTCTTTCCTGCCGGCTACGCCCTAGGCCTCGGGTGAAGCGCTGAGATCAGACACAGGCCTCTGGCGGGTCCTGCTCTTCTCTGGGTCTCAGTTTCTTCCTATGTTAAGACACGGGGAAGGAGGAGACCAGAGGGTGGTGGGCGGGGCCCAGCAGCCCACTTTCCACATTTGAGACTCTCCTTTCCTGGCTGAGCATGGACCTCCTGGCCGTGACCTCACCCGGTCTTGTGAGGCAGAGAATCTCACCTTCAGCCAGCCAGCATAGAAAAAGAACTGCAGGAACGTGAAAACGGGCACAACGAGGTCCAGCTCGTGGCCAGGATAGGCCTTGGCCGGGTTCAGAAACTGCCGCCCGATCAAGCAAGCCAGGAAGAAGCTGTAAACCGCCACGGTCACCACCTGGGAGGAAAGGGAGGTGGCAGCAGAAATGAGCTGGGGGAGGCCCTGAAGTCAGGAAGCTCCCTAGGCTGGGAGAACGAGACCTTGCTCTGACTTGTGCAGTCCAGTGACTCTGGGTCTCTGTGATCTCTAAAACGGGGATGACAAACTGAGGGTCCATGGGGG